GTGTTGCGAATGCCTCCAGAAAGGAAGGCTAAGCAACTGTTCCTTGCAAATCTGACCGGCAAAAGGCCCATGGGACGGCCAAGATTGACTTGGTGGAAACATATGGAAGGAATCTGTTCCAGACTGCATTTGTCTTTTGCTGAAGCTCACACTCTGGCACAGAATCAGGAACGCTGGAAGCTCTGTCTCACCTGCCTGCCTCTTCGACCCGAAAGGAGAAGCGGCGATGGAAGATGATGATGATGATGATGATGATGGTTAACGGTTATCCTTTGACTCTCTCGAAAGCTATGGGCGTATTCAGAACTGCTGCAGTTCTCGTATGTTCAAAAACTATGTTGTCCTTGTTTTTGGTACGTCAGCGAGCTACTAGTCGTTTATCAGCTGGTTGCATCGAGTAAGCGTGAGGGAAATTCCTTGCTGAAAGTGATCATTGAAGAGAATATTTACTTCTTTGATTCGAACTCGTCAATTCCACACTTGAAAACTAACGTCTTACCACAATGGCTTATCGAATGAGTGAATTAATGAACGCATAGAAGAATGAACCGCTGGGTAAAAGAACAAACAAATGAGTAAATGAAAAGACTCATGAAAAACCGCATATCTGAATGATAGAATGCCAAAGCCAATGGATGAAACAAACAAACGACTGGAATAGTACGTGAATACCTGTTTGCATTTTATCGATTTTCTAGCAAGAATATTCATGCATGCAGATGCTAACTTATATTCCCTCTACCGGTAAACATAGGCAAATCGTAAAGAGTAGTTCTATTTATCAGCATTGATTTCTTAGATACGAAATTTGTGTCATAATTCAATCAGCTCGAAATCAGTACTGTCTTACACCTGTATTCTTCAGTATAATAAACGTCTTCATTGAACACTGTTGGGGAGTGCAAATTTTGTCAAAATGCTAGTAATAAACAACGGAGAAAGTACGTTTAATCGACATTATTAAAACACAAGCAACTTCCTATAACAAGACTAGCAACGGTTCACTGATGGACCAAAGAGAATCACGTGTTATTCCAAAAGCAGTCTTGAATTTGTTCCGTACAACAATCATTGACCAAGTGCGGAGGTTAACACGGCACGTACAACTGCTGAAGCGAGTCATTCATTAGTACGCTTTCATTGTATGGTATATGTAAATCTACCTTGCAAATTTCAACCGGTTTAATGAGCCCTCCAGATGTAAACAGACCCAAAGAGATTCGTCTGCTGATGTTGCCTTTGCACTGAAAAATGAGTAAAGGTTAGTGCAAAGTTTAAACAGAGGCAGTGGCTATTTTACATATCCTATGAAACCAATTAAATCCGATACAAACGTGGAGCCAATAGACTAATCCAAAGCTGATCATTCATCCAATGATAATGCATCTGCGGCGTTTTCCTTCCGGTATGGTTTTCTTTGAACATGCATTTAAGACGAATTCCCTAAAAGGTGAATCTCAGAAGGCAGGGTGTGCGACTGGGAATCATCCTAGTGGTGACATTATGTCATATGTCACTTCATAATACAGTTCTCAAACGCATCCTTAGATATTTGTAATCCTGTTTTCGTATCATATTCCAGAATGGAAGAAAAATGCAATGCTTCACTAGTCCGGCACAATTATTACCAGGTAAGATCGTAGTAGCAGCTAAGGCTGACCGATATCACGAGGAGCATAGAACAAGTTTTCCATGCTACACTGTGGCCACGAACAGATTTACCCATAACGAAGGCTTTGTGACAGAGGGACGACTCTGTGATTAAGTTGCAAACTCAACTATATGAAAGCGTTTAATAATCATCTTGAAAGTTTATTGATACCTGTTAGGCGAAGGCGTTTCGAAGGCATTCCGAAAGCTTTCGTTGTCTGCGATTCTCATCCATCTTTATACAACGAACTTCTTCATCTCATCTTGCCATCGATCTGGCGCTCTTCCTACTAATCGTACCCTCTCTTAGAACTCATTTACTGTCTCTCTGGTAAAGTGATGGCCGGTTCTTCTTGCAACGTGCCTTGCGCATCGCTGCTTTTGCTTATTCACTAGTTCAATGACATTGCAAAGACACGTTTATGCTCTCATTCATTCACCTGTCATGATGTTGTTGCTTGTTATAGTCGTGATATATATTTCCATTCTGAACCCTTGATGTGTAAAGCCAACGAATATCTTGCAGAAGCTTGACGTTTTGAAGATTTTGCAGCCGCAGGTTAGAAGTTTTACTATGATTGAGCTGACTGAGTAGCTTTCGGTTCATCCACGACTGTAGTTTCTCAGATACACGTGTTTCATTCCTTCTGTGAATGTTCTACAGTAAGTTCTTTGTTACAGTAATGACGTATCTCAGAAAAATATAGCTCTGCTCGTCTTCAATCTCCATGGGTGGCAGCGTTCTAACATGCAGATTAGTTGGGCTGACAACCATCATTAGATGTGTCACCGGTCCCCATGCATTAGCATTTTAGCGTAGCTGATCCGCATACGCGGATCAGGAAGACTAAGACCAATCGGCGCATCACATGTGCCCAAGAATGCGTATAAACCTACCAATCAGAGCGATTGAGTTACAACTTGGCATTGGGGAGCACAATAAAAGGCACCGACAAAATCTATTTGGTTATGGAATCACATTCGAGTCCATCAAAGCTTAAGTGCATTAACTAGTCATAAAGACAAGAATTTGTTACGCACAACCTGAATGTTTTCAGATTCATTGTCAGCATTTCTTTCATGATGGCATTATCCGGAAAGTGGATTCAACAATGAAGTTCTTCCTCAAACCTTGGGACAATTGTTAAACTGCCGGGAAACCATAATTGACTTAAGTAGTCCTCATTTATGTTCAGCTCCCGAGTTTCTCAACATAGTTTCTGAAACTTCTTTCTATCCTACTGTAAACATCTTCATGACGCTGGATCACCCTGTCTGACTCCTTTTCAGTGTGAATTTATTGTCTTACTCAAACAGCACATAAACTTTTCATATTTGGAAATTATGCCGATGAGACGTGTCCACTTTTTCCCGATTTATTAACTGCTCAGAACATCTAATAGCGTTTGGCTGTAGAGCCAATCGACCACTAAATGATAGGAAACTGTCATTCAGTGCTTATCTAAATCACATCCAATACCATTTGAAAGTGATCAAACTTAACAGGTCCAATTCTGAATATTGTACGCCTCCGTGGCACAGTAAAACCCAGCAGTTTTTATGTACTCTCGTCAGTAGGTTCATGAGTTTCAGGAATTGTAATTTAGCCGCTAAATCTTATTAACTTGCATATTCAGCCATCAAGACAACAGCAATAATGCAACACAGGTTGAATTAATGAGAAGATAAGTTCTGCCCAAAACAAGGAAATATTCATATATTCGTTTGGCTTATAACAAAGGCGCTCTGAAAACTCAATCCCACCGTCCAACCGTTAGAATTTGTCAACTTGCAGCGTTGTTTGTGAGGTAGACTGGAAACGAGTTCTGCAGATCTGCATCTCCTCTTCAAGGAATTTTGTGTACGAGAGAGAAGGCATTTTATCTCAGGCCACGACGAAAGCTTTTTTGCTTGACATCGTGATAAAACGCACTGCGAAAAAGTTTCTGCACCAAACTGCCTGCCAACAAATGGACGAACCTGATTAGGAAGAACCACATGATATTTGATGAATTCTGCATGGCAATCGTAAACGATTAAATCGCTAATAAACATCCATTGGCCTCGAGATGAAAGTACGCAGTGCGGTTACCCATTGCGCACCAGAAAAACGACATATGTAAACGAATACATGGTTGGGAACTGATTGTCTACGAAGATCCTTTAATCAAACGCCAGTTATTAATGAATCACGAGGAAACTGCATAAGCCTACACAAGTGTCATCTTTCACGGCCGAACCTCTCAAGTGAAACGATTTACCTTCGTTACTGAAGGCTTCAACAAATTTATGAAAATTTTGATCTGCTTCACATGCTTTTGCACCCGAAGTATACGAACCATGCTATTCACAAGGCAGTTCCTATAGTAAACAGTTGTTGTGGAAATCATGCACTTGAATTGCACCTGTCTTGACACGAATACGTAAGACCTGTATCTTGTCCTAATTGTTTCCAGATTGTTCCAACCACTTGACAAACTTTTCTGTTTCTTCCATCTCCAACGCATTTCTCAGTTTCATTGATTTCTGTATAGGAAATAAAGGGAAAGGAGAAAAGTTGTGAATTGTAAATTTTGATATTGAGCATTTTGAGTCCCCTACCTCTACGAAAAACAACTGCTGTTCAAAAACCATGTCGAATTAGGATCGCGATTCGTTTAAAGAACAATTTCACGAGACGAATTTCATCACGACCATATTCAATCCCGTTAATTCGAAAAATTACAGAACGTTTAGAGGAAATACTCGCACCGCAATGAATAGATGTTTCCTCAACTTGATATTTCTTAGGAATTTGAGTCACGGCGCATCGTCTATTTCAGTTCAGTTCCTCATAGCCAGTTAATGATACTTTTTATCCGCTTAAAATCGCACGATGACAACACTATCCTACCTTTCCAACAAATGAGCATTCAACTTACCAGCTTCACATTCGATTCAGCACCGACGTAGTTGCACAAATTCGTAAGGGTCTTTTTGATGGTTGCAGTGCCACATTGACTCTTATGCAGCTGATCAGTACTAAGAACATTTTCGCACACGGAGAGTAGCAATGTACAGCCTGTGCTACGGCAAGTATTAGGCAATAGTGGCAAAAATCCTGGTACCCCACGATCTCCTTTCATTCCAACTTCACCCTTTTGTCCTGTTCTTCCTCTCCTCCCTGGAAGCCCAATCAATCCTGGATCACCTCGAAATCCGCTACTCCCTTTCAAACCTAAGCTACCTTTCTCGCCCTTTATCCCAGAGAGTCCACTCAACCCTGGAATTCCTGGATCTCCTCTAGGACCAGGATCTCCAGGTGTTCCATGTGTCCCTGGTTCTCCGTCGTCGCCTTTTACTCCTTGGGGTCCTCGTTGCCCGGGATTACCTATTTTTCCAGGTCTTCCTGTACTTCCTTTCTCCCCGGGTTCTCCCTTTGCTCCCAAAACTCCATCTATACCTTCAAATCCTGGATATCCACGTTCTCCCTTTTGTCCAGGAATACCCGTCAGTCCAATTAAGCCATTAGATCCGGGGAGTCCATGAAGCCCTGGAATACCATAGTCTCCGTTAAAACCTGGGATTCCAGGAAATCCTTGATCGCCTTTAGCTCCGGCTGCTCCAACTAACCCTCGATCTCCCTTACTTCCGGCATTCCCTTTAGCTCCGTCTCTACCCGGTAAACCTGGATCACCTCTAACTCCTTGCCGTCCAGGTGCCCCACGTTGTCCCTGCAGTCCAGCAATACCATCATCTCCCTTTGGTCCGGGTTCACCTTTTTGACCTGATGGTCCTGGTGGACCAATTGGTCCGACTCGGTTTAACAATCGCGCCGTAGAGTTGTTGTTTGGCATTGTCACTCCATTGTTCGCACTTATGAGCTTGCGAGAACCTAAGAAAATGTTAGAAACAGATTTTGTGAAAATATTTTATACTGAGCATTAACATTAAAAAAATATTTTAGTTTGATTAGAACGTCTATTAAGCTGCCTCGGGATTCAATTAATTGCGCCTGACTTCGTTGGTTATCCATCAAAATATTGCGTCTTATTTTATATGAATCCCTTGCCGCTACGATGATGGCATTAATGGTCAGTAGGTCAGTTTCGATGACCGCTTGTGTTTTCAGGTTGCATGGACACACGCGTCATGCTCGTGATCCATTGCCAGTGCCTCAAGGTCCACAGAAGTTAATCCGAGTCTAAAGTAGAATTCTACAATACACATGTACTTGGATATTTTTTGCTTACCCCAACTCATCACCTTGTAGGTTGAAACATTAGTTCCTGTTTCGCGCTATGTTCCGAAATCATCCCGACTGTCACTTCTCAATCTGGATACACACCGTTTGTACATACAGGGTAGATTCTCTGTTTGATACTTTAGCTCCATACCATGTCTAGACAAGTCAGTTCATGCATTAGTCTCAGAGAGGCTATTTCAACCGCTTATAACTGGGCTGAATTTTTTCATTCATGGGCAATTACTTCAGCTGAAGCGTCGGCTATTCCAATTCTTCGATCGACCTCTTCCTTCTACATCACATCAGTGGGGAGCATGAACTCGATGTACTTGATCTTCTCCACCTGCTCCACTGCCTCTCCGTTAATCTGAAGAGAGCAACGGGCAGGAGAACTAGGCTTTTCGTCTTAGATGCGTTCACACGCATGCCGGTCACCTCGCACTCGGCTGCGAACCTTTCTAAGGAGCACTGGAGAT